GGAAGACTACCGTGTTGTTGTTATTTTATAAAACAATTACTTTATGGTTTCCGTGTTTGGATGGACTGATCCAAACACTTGGGAATGTTGCTCGAGTTAAGAAAAGCGGGCAAAATCACTCGCCTTCGGCTCGTGATTTCGCTCGGTTTTCTTAACTCTCGCAACATTCCCGCGTGTTTGGATCAGGCCATCCAAACACGGAAACCATAAAGTAATTGTATAATACCTTATTGAATTCTGATTGTTTATTAATTGGGTGTTTATGGTTACGTGATATTGAATAGAAAATTCCATTTCCCAAGAGTGCAACGTTTTATTCCATTGCACTCTTTGTGTTTTGAATTATTTGAAACATTCAGTTTCTGTTATATTTAATTCTGTATTTATTTTAATATTAAATGGTGTTTTAATAAACTATTCTTGAAAAAGCAATATTAGTACTCGGCTGTCGCCTCGTTGAATGGAATATTCCCTCTTTCACCTTATGAAAATATTCTTACCATTGCACGAATAAAATCATTCATTATTTGTTTTATATCATACCAAAATAGACTAAAATTGCTTTTACAAGAATTAATAGTTTATTAAAACACCATTTAATATTAAAATAAATACACACAGATATAACGGAAACTGAAAGTTGAATGTTGTATTGAGAATATGAACAAAATACACAAACCGGGATCGCAAATTGAAAACTTGAATTTTGGCGGAAATATAACGTCATACTCCTGTGCTTTCCTTTCTCGACTAGTTCCAGTTATCATTTCGTATTGGTGAATTGGTGAAAGGTTCATAATTATATTTGGTTCAGTGCATGCTATCGAGACAAAAATACAACTGTTCAATTGAGTGAAAAAAAAAAAAACTCCTGATTCATAATGATAGTTTTAGTCACTGTCAACATTCTAGCGACTTATGGCTTTTGAAAATCAAGCGAAATCATATGTTAAGGCGGTTTTCCACTAGGCGAAATTTTTCGACCGAATCGAAATTTCTATTTGTTTCATGAGCTCTCGAGCAGAACTAATTGTAAAAAGACAAAGAGAAATTTCGTTTCGGTCGAAAAATTCCGCCTCGTGGAATCGGGCCTTTATGAAATTACTCAATTTTCTCGATGACTGAATATAAATTATCTATACCTTTCGCCGAATATAGCTTCGGCCCCTGAGGACTTTTTTTTTTGTAATAGTCTTGTTCGAATTGCTATCCAAAACAATATTATTTTAATTAAAGTGTTATTTTCAAGCTTGTTTCTGCAGATTTCATCTATCATTTCGGTATTTCAGTTTGTGTTCCTAAACCGGAAATTCAGGTTTGCTCGATCGAAACAATTACACGTGTCTACCATATAGGAGTCAGGGAACAATGGGAATCGATTCTGCAAGTCAAAATTCCCCCGGGAGCGTACTTTTCACGTCTATTCGGCTATGGTAGCTTCTTGCATGGCCAAGTACAGTAAGAGCGTGGCCACGCACGTGGAGGTTTTGTTCCAAAATAATTGTTTTCACAAGTGACAGATATAGACTTCGAACATTCAAAAGGGAATAAGATCATTAATTTTGAAATCTCGCAAAAGGTTGAAGATTTTGCACAGTTTAAATGTATTCATTAGTTATAATAAAGGAAGAAGTTGATGTCCAAAGAAGAGCTCGCTGGATAGTCACTTGGCCGGGGATTGCCATTCATTACCCCTTTGTTATAGTATAAGTAAACTTGCCACGTATCCCAAGTCAGTCGATAACTGTTCGGTCGCCCCACTTCCCTCCCCAGACAGCCACCTTTTGCCAGATGGGGTTTTGGAGAAGCGGTTTGTTTGGGCTTTTTTTCAGGTTTTTTTTACAACCGCAAGTTCGTAATCAGTCTTTCGCGGCTGGGGTTTGTAAATCTCAGATACCGACAGTCTACCGTCGACGTAAGCGTGAGTTACAATTGTTTTTGTTTTTTTCTCTTCCACGTGTTTCGCTTTTTGTGATTCACGTGTGACTGTGTGGTCACGGGATGGAGAGGGTACCGTTTAGGGTCTAGATGTGTTGGTGCCATGACCTGGAACAAGCATGAAGGATGTTCACATCACCGGAGCCTACTGTAGCTCGATCGCAACGCCAAACACGATTGCACCGCCGTGCAGCCGTTTCCATTCCTACCGATCGGCAGCGGGCATAACTACAATCCTGGCAAAAATTATTGCCGGACAGCGTGCGAGGAAAAAAATATAAACGTGCAAAAACAATGTTGAAAGCTTATACATGGTTTAGGTGAAAGCTTTGCGAAATGTATATCAAGACCAACATTGTAGGGAGGGGGGGGGGGGGGGACAAAAAGTGAATGCCAACAGTAATATTTAGTTTACACCTCAGTGTCCACGGAATTTTTGCCACGTTTGTAGTTAGTAAGTTACTATAGTGATGCTTGTTTAATCCGTACAATCTAATGGCTAATTGCTAAACTCAGTATTGTTTAGCATCCTGTGAGATTATTAAGCTATAAGTTACATCATGCGAGGATGTGTGACAATAAAAATCGTGTTTCAAATTCGTTTCAGTTCCACTAACTGTAGGTAACTTGAATTTAAGTAGAAGTAAATTGAAATACTTTTGTATATTTGCCCTATATAGACACTTCTCAACTTCGCTGGCTGGCGATGAAAATTGTTTGAGTTACATTGCCCGTAAGGTGCTGTATTTGGTTTTGTGTTCACTCAAGCGAATACGGGAAATGTCTGTACCCGATCACCGATCAGAAAAAAATATTTTAGACTTCGTCACTTCTCGTAACCGCACGACTCTGCGATCGCTTGGAATAAACTGTGCACTCTAGTTTAATAGTCTGCGATAACAGACTGATCTCAGCGGACCCCATCTGGAGCGGCGGAAAACGCTCCAAGGGGAATCGGCTGAGATCAGTCGGCTGTCGGCTATCGCAGACTAGTTTAACTGGTCGTCGATATGGTGTGTTGTCGTTTCACGTGCATGTTGATATTTCAAACAATTATTAAAAGTGGACAAAACACAATCCGTAGATTAGTATAATCTTATTGGGTATTTTATACATACCAGAAAGGGTCAGTTTTGAAGCTTTGCATGAAAAATGTATAATTTTCTTCAAATGATATGTTGTTATCGAATTAATGGCTTGAAGTGAATTTTGCATCGTTCAATATAGCCTGTGCTGGCCAATTAGTTTGTGGTTCTCGATGATTAAACATATAATATGCCTTTGGGTTTCTACATGTATATCCAAAAATGTGTTGCAAATTTCAGGTAAAAATATAGTCCTCTCTTTATTTAGTCCGAAGGGAAAATATCAACAAAGTGTAGAACATTTTTTGTGTTGGTGTAATGTACTTGGGTGAATATGATGTTTGTGATGTTACTCTGAGTGTGCATCCACACCGGGCAAGCTGAAAGGCTTGCCTATAACCACGATGGGAATCGAACCCGCGATCTTTGGGATACTAGTGAAATGTTTTGCCATGCAACTGAGCTACGAGGTCAAGTCTGTTGATATATGTAGAATATTCTTTTTCGGCATTCTGCGAAATTGCCACATCATATATAATCCACTAGCTCTCGAAATTTTTTGTATTGAACGCAGTTATTACATGTACGTATAAAACGCAATATATAAGGTCCCCTCAAACATTTCTTATACAAATCATTCAAAACTTATAATTTATCTGTGCCAAATTCCTACTGTGATCACAGAAAACTATAACTACTTCGGTTACTTTAACTTTGCTATTACAGCCTGTTTTTTTCAAACAAAGGTTTCTTCAGTAGGCTCCCGGCCAGATTCCTTCATTGGTGATGAAACAGGCTGTGTATAGAGGGAACCTTGGGAGAAGCAAAGCTAAACTGTTTGCGGCTTTATCTACGCGATATCGAGCACTCTCTAGCATTTCGTGAACCAAAACATATACTCGGAAAGCGCAATATGCCAATATACATAAAATATAAGAGATTGATTGTGCTATTATTCATGTTGAATAACCTGATTGTATAATTCAGACATTTTTGCAAGCAATTTGGTTATGAAATATATTTACTTAACAAGGCCACTTACACAAAAGATAAAAGCCAATATTCTTGATCTAAATACTCCAGCAACAGGATTTTCAATTTCAATTTCAAAAAATTTCTATTACGTGTAAACATTCAAGCACGTGCATAAATAAATACGACGCTAATGTATGGCTATTTACATGAGCCGAGCTAATACGTTTGCTTTAACAGACCCGATAAGTGCTGGTGTCTAAAATATATGCGCAAACAAAGTATAGCAAAATATTTGAGCAGTTAATTTCGCCACAAACGAAAATTAAATCTAAATTAATTTGTTTGCAAAATCGAGAAAAAGGTTTCGTGACCAAATACAAGGCATCGAAAGCGAAGCGGATTGTCCTTGATGATGTAATAACTCGGCTCATATAAATGTCATTCAGGTTATACGTATAGTTAGATCACTTCGTTTGTATATGAATATGGAGTGCTGTTCAATATATTTCTAAATTCTATACAATTCAATAACGGTGAACGAGAAATAAATCGAAATTATAGTCTATACAGAAGTAAAAATCTATAATAAAAAAGTAGCTACTATAGTTAGCATCGCTTATATAGTACTGCATGCATGCATGTAGCGATAAGTACTAAATATGAAAGAGTTTTGTTAAAGATTAGCTCACAAGCCTTGTTCAATCTCCTCAAATTGTTTCTCGATCTCGCTCATCTTCTCTTTCTCTCGTCGTATTTCATCCTCGAGTCTTTCCTTCAATCGTTCACACGTTTTAATCTTGCTCGCTTTCTCCTCCTCTAAAGCGGTCACCTGCTTAATTTGATCATCTAGAAAAGCGACCTTTTCTTGAAGCTCGTCCTCTTTCTCGTTTAAGATATTCACGTTGCTTTCCAGAGAGTTGGTCGTGCCCGTAAAATCTTGGTACTGTTTTTGAAATTCCGCTTCCTTCTGCAGGAATCTTTCCAAATTATCTTCGACACGTTTCAGATCATTGACTAATGCTTTCTCACGCAGCGAGGCTTCCTTATACCGATTTTCTTTCTCTTCTAAATCATACTTCATAAATTTCGCGTTGTCTTCGATTTCCTTCGTCATTTCGAAGCCTTCCTCTTCTTTATCTTCAAGTCGTTTGCGATTGCTTTCTGATTCCTCCGAGCGCTGGGCATTTTGGTCTAATTGATTCTGAATATCTGTGGTCCTACCAGTCACTCGTACCAGCTCGGCTTTTAAAGTCTCGACTCGATTTTGCAGCGATCTAGCTTCGGTTTCGCTCTTAAGTTGGCGTTCGACAACCATCACAAGTTCTTCCTTAGCATTTGCTTCTCGTTCTTCGGTTTCGTCAATCGAAATTTTCATTTCGCTTATCCGTTGTTTGATATTTTCTAAAGAACGTCCCCTGCTCATTTTGAACTTTCGCAATACTTCGGATATTTGATAAATAGTTCGTGTATATTACCAAGTTTACCGCTTGATGGCTTCAAGTACGAATAAGCTTTGTCCAATTTATCGCTGAAGTACAAATATTGCTTCGAGTGAAGGCAATGCTATAGGAAATGCCAAAGTAAGGTAGCGTTTGTCTCACCTTTTACAGCACATACAACAAAACCAGGATTTAAGTAGGAGTGCCGTATCCGCTGCACGTCACTCTACCTGCAAATGCATGAATAATGACAATTGCCGAATATTCATGAACACTTAAGTATCCTTACAAACACTTAAGCATATATGAACAAATTTTAGAAATTTAAAACTAACAAGGAATTCAGTACGGTACTTTTTCATTCAACTCGCTAGAGTAAGTTATATATTACTTGCTACCAACCGAAAACCGATGGCTGGGCTCAAATCTTACCAAAATGCTTGATATTTGTATTGATAAGCGAATACTTGATGCGGAACGGCACTTGTATTTTATGTCGGATAACACAATAATTTATGCAAACTGTTGGTTTTCCCAAATTCATAACATTTCTTCAGTAAATACGGCATTCGTGCTATGTGTGAGTGAGTGAGTGAGTGGGTGGGTGGGCATGGTTAACAAATATTAATAAAAACTATTTGTTTTATAATTTACCTTTTCTTATTAGTGTCAAGCTAAGTTGGTATACTTTCATATTGATCCGTACTTATGAACCCTAATCATTTTGACAACACTGACCTGAAAAATAGACTGGATAGCGCATCATAAGAAATCCCTCCTTACTAAAGGGACTATGTTTCTATTATAACACCTCAAGCAATAAATTCCTACCATACTGCGCAGGTTGTCAGTTGGTCGCTTAGTAATAGAGAGGTTCAGATTTGACTTCCACAACCACAAGAAGCCCTCTCCGAGTCTTATTATAGCTCAGTGTTTATGGCATTCCACATGCAAATATATAGCTCAGTGTTGAAGGACAGGCCTGCATGTTGCGGGCTGGAGCAGGCGTGTTCTTTAACACTGAGCTATATATGTCTATATGGAATGCTATAAACACTGCGCTACTGAGCTCTATATTTACATCTACATGTAGAATGCTATAAACACTGAGGTCACTATCTGCTACCACTATCTCTCACTGGCGTAATAATACGCATCCGATTGGTTAATCAGTACGTTCAAATGTATCTGATTGGTTTATTTTTCCTTAATTAATAATACCGGTAGCCGCAGTGGAAGTCAAACTGAACCTCTATAATATCTAAATTCCAACTTCAAATAAATCCCAGTATTAAAGAGGTTGAAAACTGGATGTGTGCCTATACCTTAATTTAATTTAAACCAGGATCAAAGTTAACGGCCAGCGAAAATCGAAAAACCGATTCGCGCACTATGACTCTAGCTGTCTTGACCAGGGTCTTGATCCTAACAAATCACCAGCTCTTCAATAGCTATACTTTTCATGAATACACTTATCTCAAAACCCAAAAATTTAGGGATTTTTCAGCTAGCGTGCCCTTTGAAAAATTTTTTATACAAAAAACGTCAAAGTTTTTTTATTGATATTTTGGCTGTTCTAACGACCCACGCTTTTGTTGAATTCTACACAAAAATATTTCGGAATTCGGGTACCGTAATAGAAACCTATAATCAACTTGCAAAAATAGTGTAAATACAGCCTAGTCCCAGTCGTTCTGAAGCAAGCGCGAAAAACGTGGATGCAGTACGAGACTGGGACCTAGGTGTGACGTCACCGCTAAAGGTGCTTCAGAACGCCTAGCAGATTTTAGTATTTTGAATATGGGGGAAAATTTATATACACAAATAACCTTGTACATACGACAATGTTCGTTGATCATGTTCGATGTCTACATAACCAAATTCAAACTGTATGAAAAATGTGCTCAATTAAAAAATATATATATATACAAATTTACGATACTGAATCTGAGCAATGGTCGTATAATCGTTGATGTTATTTATATACTCGCAAGTTGTGATCAACACTAGACCATATTGGTATACACAACTACGCTTTCTACTTGACAGGTTTAAGTAGCTGAGGAGATTGGAAATATTTGCCTGACATGACTACTGTATGTTGTCAAAACATTTTTAGTCGGAGACTCGTCATCATTTTCAAGCTTCCAGGTAGCATTTAATATGGCTTTATATTTTAGTAAACACGAGTAATATTTTGCCCGTTATTCCATTCTGACCGTATGGTAGCAAAACGTAGCCTATTTCATTGTTCCAACAGCATTAGAGCAAAACTAATGACTCAATTATAAACGCAAAGGAAATTTCCATAACATCAGTACTATATACAAATGCGGTATGCTTGGTAACCAAGC